CAAGCACAATTGGTGCCCTTGAAAGGCAAACTAAACGAAGGCTGTTCAAACACTAGTGTTTTTCACATGTTGCAACAAGGGCTTAGCCCAAACATTACCTGACCGAAACTCAGCCGGGTCGGCTCCCAGCTGAGTTTCGCTGCAAAGGCTATGGAGCACATCAAGTCATTTTGGGTTTGTATTCCCTTGGCAAACTGACAAACAAATACCACAGCCCTCCCGACAGTCACTGCATGTGACCTTCACCATGGGTCAACAGGTTTCACCCCCTCCCCTCCCTCGCCTCCACTGGTGCGGAGATGGCCCCCGAGCGGCTCTTTTCCACGCCTGCCAGACGCGGCTGCAGATATGGGCCTCTCAAAACATGGAGCTTCAGAAAACCTTTGCTAGGGTAGTCCTAGTTTTGGCGGTGACTTGCACAAAGATCCCCTTGAGCTCCCCAGCGGACATGCTTGAGATGCACACAGCCGGGATTCCGCCTGGCCTAAGGTTTTGAAACCAACAGGACAGAACTGCGCCTTCGATGTAGACCAGCGCCCAATAACTGGTGCCTTGGACAAGCGCCCATTGCACCGGGCTACATGGCAACCAGAACCCCTTCTAGTCATCGAAGCCTGAGTGACATCAACACCTTCTGAAGTCATAGTCTTGCTGGGTCAATGGGGTTCATGACGAGCTAAGAGGCAGGAAGCATGGCTCGCGCTGATTCACACTTGATTGCGGAAAAGCGGGGTGTGCAGCGAATGAGTTCCCAGGGCTCGCAAAAGCTGCGAGAACAGGAACCGCCAGGACTCCCTTTTTTTCCTAGAGAAACATCAAGCCAAAAAAAGCAACTCATACAAAAACATGGCCTGGAAGGTGATGTTTACAGCCACCCTGGCCTACACGGGTGACTGCTGAGCGAGTGACTGTAGTTCAGGCCGCAGCTGGTGAAAGTGATGTTTGAGAGGTTGGTGGCTAGCACTGGCAGGTTCGCAGGCGCACAGGACTCGTTGCTCTCCGGGTAGAACCTCAGCTAGGAACCCTGCTAGGTCCTGTCCAAATGGGTAGGCCACGCAAACCGGCCGCAATTCGAAATCGTGACACACATCAGGCACACTCCCCGGTCAGCAGGGCAAATGTCACGGGTCAGGCGCTCTCTTTCAATGGTAGCATTGTATGTCGTCTATTCTTGGGAGCAGCAAATACCGTCTACTTGGTGACTTGCATGGCCCACGGCTAACGAACAAGGGCACCTGCACGCGTTCTGGGCTTAGCACCTGTCAAGGAAGGCAGGAACGTTCTGATAGTAGCTCGCTGCCTGGCTGACATCCGCAGGTGCTCTGTGCATCCCGACTTCAAGTCATCTGAGCGCCCAACACCGATTGACATAAAGGTTCTGCCTCTATGGTTATTCAGCTTAATATCGGCCATCCTGTAACCCGCATGAAGCTGGGCAGAAGAGCCACCTAGTGAAATGGCCAACAGTGTTTTGGGCGCTGATCATCTGGCATTCAATCTGCAAGCGCAACTTGAGGCGTGCATATGCCCAGATTAGTATTGTGACCCTCCGACTGTTGCCTATCCATCTATCTCCATTCATACAGCAGTGCGATTCATGTGTGAGACCCACATTGTACGAAGAGACGAACGTGTCGTCAGTCTCGCGAAAACATAGCCATCGTTCGTTTGACTTGGGCGCTCTCAGGCAACAAACTGGATGTTTCGACCCAATCTCGGATCACGAAAAAAACATGGCTCAAGCCTCTTCCCCTACAAGCCGCCCCAAGCCCCCCCTGCCTCGGAGTAGTCCGCAAACAAAGCGCCCCAGGCGTAGCCCGGGCGCGTGGCCACGAAGCCCAAGGAGAAGCCCTCGGGCTCCGGGGTGGTCGAGGGCCGCGGGGAGTCCTCGAAGCTGTTGGTGTCCATAACCTCAGTCGGTTACGAGCCCCGACCCAAAGTGACAAGGGGACAAAACACCCCCTGATCAAAGTCAACCAGTGGAATCATCCGGGCTTCACAAGAAACATCGTTTACTAAGAAATGGAACCACCAAAAGGGGTCTAACAAATGGAAAATGGGTTCGACACAATCCTTTCTGTGATAGCAAAGAGGGCAAGGCCTATGACTACTTTTCCATTTTGCAGGGGATTCCTTGGTGTCGCAGAAGCAACTCCACAAATCAGGCTTTCACAACCATGCCTATGCCCCATTTTCCATTTCCAACCCAGTTGCAACCTGCCGAAGGAATCTAATGCAAGTCATTAATGCCTAATGGATTTGATGGTGATTGAAATCAACTCGCGCAAGGAAAGGGAAACTACAAATGAAGTCTTTTGAAAACTGGCCGGCCCGCTCTACTTCGAGGGCCAGCCTGAAACATTGAAATGAGAAGACACCTATTGCACACACTTGGCCTTCAACCAAGTGATAGCTAGCTGCAGACGAGCGATTATGCCATCAATCGATCTCAGGCATCTGGTAGCGCAAACGGCCAAAGCAAGCAGGCTGCGCAGCGGGCGTCAAGACCTTCTGAAATCCATCATGATCGAACTATCTTTTGTGTCATGAACAGCCACGGAGGCTTGGAGGCCAAAACCCATGACTTGGAATCCTTTGAATGGACCTCTCAAATGCATCCTGCACTGCCAATTCTTCTTCCTGCACCATGATGCCAAAATCGTTGCACTGGCTGCGTGGGAGCTGGCCACATGGGCAACTTGCCTTCCTTGGGAACCAAGGCACGTAGAACGTGATCGGCCCAGCTTTGACACCATCGTTGTTGCCGTTGGAGTCCTGCCAACAAAAACAACAACAACAACAACCGCACTGATTTTGGCACATTATGATGGTGCTAGTTGCCTTGTCGCCGCTGCTTCGAATGGTTGCGCCGCCAAAAGCACGGCAAACCTTCGGCCCAAATCTCAAGAAGCCTCGACTAACCAAAAGTGCGATGCCTTACTTCCGGCCGGGAAGAAAAACCTTGAAAGCCCTCGAAGACCTTTGGTTTCTTCCAAAAGAAGGCTGGCGTGTTCGATCGTGCTTGCAAGACACTCCTCGATGTACACAGAGAGGCTGTAGAGTTGCCCCCGACTCAGCTGGCAACTTGTCAGGAGGATCTCCTGGCGAAAATTCCCAGCAGCCAAAGCCTCTCGTCCTTAGCCCCTTCCGATATGCGAGAAGCACAGAAAACAGGTCTTTCCACTGCCCAAGACCAAAATCAACTAGAGACCTAGATTTTGCCACCCGGCAGCTAACCCAGGTTTGTCCATTTGGACGTTGCCTTTTCGGGACCTCCCCTAATCAGCCATGTTCGTTCTGATTTTGAAGGGCAGTTCCGCCTATCGACTCTACAGGTAACCCTTTTGAGGCAGGTTTCAATTCACGGGAAGCCAACATGAAAGACCACTTTTCTTTGGTTTTTTTGGGGGCGGGGGGGGGGGGGTCCCCTGTATTTTGCCAGTACCCAAACGGAATCACGGGTTTTCCCATTTTGGGGCTGCTAATCGATCTCGTTTCGGGCCTGCAAGCTTGCGGTGAGCGGCTGCTCGATGCGCCAGCACTCTTCGGTGCCCAGCGCCCCAGTGCCCGCCTTCAAGGCCTGTCGATGGCTGGGATGAACCATCACCCCAGAAAGAGGCGGCGAGCGGGACCCCTTTGGTTTTCTGAAAAGGCAAAGTAAGCAGGACAGACGGATTTCTCAGCGCTCAGACGGATTTCTCAGCGCAGACTCACAAAGGGCCAACCTACTTGGCCCCTCAAAACCTGAGGTGAGACGACGGGAAGGCGACGTGGAGCTCCGTAGATGGGGACGTTCGCCTACTCTTGGGCTTCCTGTAAGGGAACACCGGAAGCACATGTCCAGTGTTTGGTTTCTTGTGGGACGTCTTCCAACCGGTTCTATCTCATTGAAGTTGGTGTGCAGTCAGCGAAACTGACAAGGCCCGACCCCCGAAGCAACCAACCGGACTTGGCTGGCGATGCCCAACACTACTTGGGCCAGTAAAGGAACCCGCAGGACTAGCCGGATAACCGGAAATGAAGTGCCAATCTTGATTGAAGAGCACTGACTGTGTATGTGTGCATAAAATTCAACTGGCGGCCTTTCGGCGGACATCGTTGTCTGCATATATGTATGCAACCATTGCTGAGGGTGTGCCCATTTTTGAATTCATAGCCATGCCCGCCTCCACTGTTTGCTCCGCGTCGCCTCTGTTCAGCATGGACCAGAACTTCCCTGTAAAGGAGGATGTCATCCTCAGTGGCATGCATCTGTGTCGACATTGCACGACTGGTGCCAACTAGCTGGACAAACATCGACCATTTGGTCTATCCTGTTTTGGGAAGCTGACAACATATGCACATCGTTGTGTTTTCCTTGAGGGAAACATCAGAAACCCTTGCTACTGTGTTTCGCCCCAGGCCAAGTCAGCTGAAGCACTGGAAGCTGAATCCGCGTCCGGTGATCTCAGTGACAATGGAGGGGTACACCACGAAGATGTTCGAAGGCGTGACTTGGAACCTGGCGAGTCAAACAATGTTAAATGAAACAACCACAACATCGAAAACACACATCAACCCCGAAAATCCCGCGGCAACATTTGGGGAGCGTTTCATCACAAGTTGAATGCTTCCCTAGACTCCCCCTGCTAATCAACCAGGATTTATTAACTCTAGATTCCTGATACCCGTCAACGCCCGCTCTTTTTTTGGCAGTGACTTTCAGCTTGCATTCAGAATCCCCAACCGTGCGTCCTGTTTTTGTGCATGTTCAAAGCATCAAAATCAACACGCACGCACAGTGAAAACAAAAACGCGTGTATTTTATACATGGTCTTCTTTCCCACTCTCTCTCTCTCTCTCTTTCTCTCTCTCTCTCTTTCTCTCTCTCTCTCTCTTTCTCTCTCTCTCTCTTTCTCTCTCTCTCTGTCTCACACTTCTAGATCCACTGGTCCTCGCCATAATCAGCTCACAAACTCAGGTATCCTTTTGGCAAAATAGATAGATTCCACTGGCAAATGATTGAAACCTATCTGACACCCGATGTTCCGTCTATTTTCAACCTAGAAAAGCTCACCAGGCGATTCGTCTCATCCAAGGGACGTCACTGTGCCCGCGAAGCTGCCGTCGTTCTGCACGGAGCCTTCGCCCTCGATGTAGGAGTGGAGCGCATACTCTGGGCCCGAGTTCAGCTTGCAGCCCGAGAGACGCACAGACTGCCTCAAAGACCGTGGGTTGACACAAGGCGCAAAGGACGGCGAAAGGAAAATAACTAATTGTGGATTTCCCCATATCGAGGTTTCCCGTTGGGATTACTACGCCAAGCCACAAATGATGGGGTACCACAACAAGAAAAACAAGATGCAGCGATAAAATCGTGGACTTACGCAAGCGGCGATACAAGGGTGATGTTAGGGGCTTTCCCGTATCAGTTAGGTTCAACTTTTTGTTCAGTGGGAACAAGCTCATGTTCTGAAAAATGAGAGGTGAAGGGTCATGCCGTTCAACAACCCGGTCCTTGCCCTCTTTCACGAGGTCGCTTACGGATTTTTGTGTGTTCAGTCCAACCAGCAAAACTGTTTTGCCGGAATACGGAAAATGGTACTTTTCCCATAAAGTTCAAAGGCCACACCCAAGGGCAACCATGAAGACAGCATTGCCCCTCTCGCGACCGCGCGGCAACGCCGTGTCGATGGGCTGCATGAGGAGCCGACAGCTGTCAGTGCCCACGGCACCCTGACCCGCCTGAGGGCAACTCTTTAAAGGCGCTCCCAGTTGCTCGGTCTTTCTGACCCCAATATTTTACCATCGTCAACATCACCCCCGAAGTGGTTGAAGGGAAGCAACCCCAGTTCTCACTTTCACAACCCCCCAGAAACGGTAGGTTTTGAGGTTCCCTTCTGCGATTTACTCGGGGGTCCCCAAAAAAGTGAACCGGATTCCCTCCAAAATGAACCACCGTGGGGTTCCTGGGGTGCCGTCACCCATCAAAGGCCCTTTGACTCTTGAGCCTGTCATTTTTGGGCTTCCCATCAGTACACGGCCTATCAACCATCCTGCACCCGTTGGGATGGATAAAGCTTTCAAATGATGGGATAGACCGGATTTTGTCACCGGCCACAGTTGCAACCAAACTCTTGGCGAACTTTGCCCATTGGTCGCGATCAACCAGGGGGTGTCGCCTTGATGATGTCGATGGTCAGGGCCACGGGCCCCTCGGTGATCATCAACCAAAGATAGCCGGTGGACCTGAGGCCATGGCCAAAGCCCTCCGGAACGGTTCATGTCTATTTGCCCAGTGCCAGCTGTCGAAATGACTATGCTCCGTGCCCCCAACTGACTCGGAAGTCGGTGAGAAAACAATTTTTCCTAGTGGAAAGGCGGGCCATGTCCCTCAAGTATGTCTTGCCTGCACAACCTTCCCACTCATTGGACGCAGAGAATCTCCCAATTGCCGCCATGTCCATGCCCTCACGTGCTTCATTTGCGGATCATACCAAGTACTGTCAAATATCGAGACTAGAACTGACATAGGTTTCCATCACGGAGAAAAACAAATGGTTGGCATTGGTTTCCTGTGTTTTCTGATTCAGCTGTCCATCAAAGCTGCCGAACTTTTGATCAAATCAACGTCCGACCATTTGGCTAAGAATTTCAATTGTTGGAAAACCCGACATGATTGGCGGACATTAAAGTTCATGTGAATGGCGTCCACCAAAGGCCCCCTTCTAGATTGGGTTGAATTGGAACAGAAGACCACACATTTAGGATTCTTCAGGGGACGGGGTGGTGACCACACTTGCTCACCCCCAACTCGCGGATGCTCACTCGGCCTGGCGCGCAGCTGCACGGTGATGCCATCCCCACTGGGGGCGCCCGAGATGGTGGGGTAGGTGGAGTAGGCGTTGCTGGCGCTCGTGGCCGAGTCTGAGGCCTCGGGATCCAGTGGCCTTCCTTGGCACACATAATTATGTCGTCTTTTGGAGGGGGTGTTCAAAAAGGAGGCCACCCCCATTTTGAGGACTCCCGCTTCTTTGAGACGAACCCATTTGCCAGGCAGCTGTCTCAACGATGCCATCCAAATGCGCGCCGATGCCCGCAATGTAGGCCAAAGCAGTGTAACGGCTCCCCACGGTCAGAAGGCATCCAGTAAAGACCCAAGCCTCGTGGTGTTGACAAGAGCAACGCAAACCACAATCCCACTACAACCAAAACACAAACACAGAAGCAAACAAAACAAACAAAGAAACAAAGAAACAAGGAAACAAATAAACAAAGAAACAAGCAAGCAAGCAAGCAAGCAAGCAAGCAAGCAAGCAAGCAAGCAAGCAAGCAAGCAAGCAAGCAAGCAAACAAACAAACAAACAAACCAAAACAACAAACATAAACACAAACACAGAGAAACACAATAAACACACAAACAAACAAACAAACAAACAAACAAAGAAACAAACAAACAAAGAAACAAACAAACAAAGAAACAAACAAACAAACAAACAAACAGACAGACAGACAGACACAGACAGACAGACAAACAAACAAACAGACAGACAAACAAACAAACAAACAAACAGACAGACAGACAGACAGACAGACAGACAGACAGACAGACAGACAGACAGACAGACAACAGGCAAACAAACAAACAAACAAACAAACAAACAAACTCGCAAACTCACATACACACAAACAGCAAACAACTAAACAAGCAAGCAAGCAAGCAAGCAAACAAACAAACAAACAAGCAAGCAAGCCAGCGAGCAAGCAAGCGAGCAAGAAACAAAGAAAGCAAACAAACAAACACACAAACAAACAACAAAGACGCAAGCAAATAAGCAAGAAATAAAGCAACAAACAATCAGTCAATCAAACAAACAAACAAACAGACAAACAAAAACACACACACACACACACAAAGTGAGGCAGTTTTTGGAAGCGGCCTTTGTCCGTTTTTTGCTGGCTTCAGAAGAGGCAAAATCCAGCTGACTTCGACCGCCCATGGTCACCCCCCAAATCAGAAGCGCAGCTCTGCTGCACGTCCCCAGCCTCTTCACGGTAGGCGAAGAGCTGCCTAGCGTCCAAATCCGTCCAAGCTTCAAGGGACAGGAGCGAAGGTCAATGGCTCCTATTGACTCTTCCGACGCGCTGCTTGCTTAATGCAACATGGGAAACACTTAAAGCCCTGATGCCATGTCTTTGGTGTCCTACTCTATCCTTTGCCCGAATCTCTCCTTCAGGCCGCGCCTTGGACCGTGCTTGCAGAACGGCCCGCCCAAGGCACCCACGAGGTTATAGACATCCTCCTGAGCAAAAGTCACACCATGCTGCCCACACAAGCAACCGACTCCCTGGTCAATTGAAGGAGCTGCACAAAACCCAGGCGGAACGAACAAACAAAGGAGCGCACGAGCAAACATCCAAACACAGGAGCAAACAAGCAGACAAACTAGCAGGCAAACAGATCGACAAATAAACACACGACACACAGACACAGACACAGACACAGACACAGACACAGACACAGACACAGACACAGACACAGACACAGACACAGACACAGACACAGGCACAGACACAGACACAGACACAGACACAGACACAGACACACACAGACACAGACACACACACACACACAGACACAGACACAGACACAGACACACACACACACACAGACACACACACACACCAAAACAAACAAGCACACAAAGACACACAACAAGCTTAGATAGCAGAAGCAAAAGAAGAACCATTAAAATCACCCAACGACCCGCACAAACACAACACTCACAACAGCAAACCACACGCCAAAACCCAACTTTGAAAGCGTCTGGAGGTCTCCTTGGTGGCTTGCCTGGCATCCTCCTCTGGCAGTATCATGGCCCAGCCGAAGCCCGGGCGTCTTGGTGTGAAGGCCAAGGTCACGCCACTCTCCTTGGCGGATCCAAAAGGACACCGTTTGGGCATGGGTACCCGGGAGACCCAAACATGTGGTTTCCCTTTGGCTTTCCCTGTAAACCAAGCTGGAAAGGGTACGCCCCAAAAGCACACACACACACACACCCCTTTGGCGACGGTGTTTACATTCACTTCGGATTTTCTCGAACTACTGCAGAGACCCACTGATCAGTACGGATCGTCTGATGAATCCAGAAATTGACATTGGAAGGACAATAATAGGAAACCCTGTGCCTTGGGAGGGAGCCGCAGTTTTGGTCAATACACATTCCCGCTTGTGTGAACCCCGTCGTTCCATTTGGTTTTCGAATTTCGTTGGCGGTGCCCCGAAGTGCTCACAGCCAAGAGACGGTCAGCGGGCTGTTGAGCGTGGGAGAGCTGTAAAAGGTGTTGGACAGCCCCGTGATGACCTGACCGAACGGAAGCTTGGCTTCTTTCCTAAAAGTCGACTTTCGGCTTTCCCCGACCTAGAGAACAACATCGAAACAAACACAGACTCGACCTGCACCAGCTTCATTTCACTGCAGAGCGCCACATGGGACAAGCCAAATTCCGTCTGCAACTTGCCAGCAGCCTATCGCCTGCCCTTCTTCCGCCTGCCCTCTGCATTGGCGCTCCAAGCCAACTGATCCACCCAATGTCTGTTTGCCAACTTTTTGGCTGGGACCCACACATTTTGTGCAAGAAAAACCGCCCTCAAAATGCTTCTACTTGACCCTTGAGGTCCAAAAAAAGACCATCCTGAATGCGGCCATGGCGCAGAAAAGTACACTCCTCCTGACAGCGTGCCGTCGTCTAGCCCCAAGTCGGCACTTGCAACGCTCTGCACGTAGACCACCTGTTCCCGATTGATGTCTCCAAACTGATTGGCTAAGACCCCTTGCTATGACGAAAAAGACGCACTGCAAGCAACACAGCACCGACAAACGACCGGAACCGGCAAAAATGGTGAAAGGAAGACTGGTTTCTTGCGCCGTTTCCCAGGCTCAAACTTTTTTTGATGTGTGTACTAACATTTCGGACTGCAAGTGGATGACGTTGATTTCCCCTTGAAACACCTGGATCCCCTCAGCTTTGAGAGAAACGAAGCTGCAGCTTTAGTTCAGTTCCCCGATAATTCCTGATGCCAAGCTGCCACCGCATAGAGGCCCCCATGGGCAAGGAAGCAGCCCAATGGATCCGAGGGATCGTCATCCGATCCTAGCCTACGAGAATTGAATGCACCGGCTGGTCAGGGGAGACAAATGGGTTTGTCTTTTGAGCACCCACGTTCTGGGTTGAAAGGAACGCAAAAGGCAAGCCAGCATTTTGGGGTTTCCCTATTTTCAGACAGACCCAAATGACAAATGGCAAGCTAATCTTCTTATGCCGATCACATGCGCCATGGACCTGCGCATGCCGTCGAAACTGGGGAGAACCACTCCAACGAGCACTTGGATCCTGGACACTTAGCCCCTGGGACGGCCAAACTGATCTTTGGGACCAAACCAAAACGGGCAAATTGTAGCACGTGGTTTCGCCCCAGGGAGCTGTGGATTGCTTGATTTGATACGAGCATCTGGAAATGAGAAGTTGCAGGCGAAATATTTGTCTCAACATTAGGGAACCCCTTCCTGTGGCGGTTCCTTTTGCTCCCGTTGAAATCAAGCAAATGCGCAAAGACACTTGCAAATGGTCTTGGTCATCCAGACTCTCACTAGCGGGGGGAACAACTGATTGATGCAAACTGCCAAAAGTGCCTTCAACCACCTGCTGGAATCCGCCCAAAAAAAGGAGTCGGCTCCTAAAGCCTGCAGTTGTTCCTTCAGCCTTCACCTGTCACACATGGCGCTTGCACATGATGACTTCGCATCCAAAGCAGCCAATTACGTTCCCCCCCCAAACCGCAGCAACGGCCCCCAAAACCAACCCAAACCCGCCGGCCTCCAACGGTAAACTTCTCCTGGCTGCACCAGCGCCTGATTGTAGCACTGCGCGCCGCCGACAGCCATGGCACCCGCCTCTCGAGAGGTTTCGAAAGGTGGAAAGGCCGGCGGCTGATCCTTTTCCCCCTCCCTGCATTTGGACCGTGTTCCACTCATCTGGGCTCATGAGATCATACCTCCCAAACCAGGGATTTGCCCAAGTTTTTAATCTAGTATAACTTAGTGAGGGAGAAACGGTATCCAGGTCAAACAAGCACGGCTCAACTTGCAGAGCCCTCCAAGTCGCACTGATGAAGGCTCGGGGACAAGGTGACGGACAATGTATATTTTTTTGGTAAGCGCAACCCTTGACCAGATGCATGAACAAGCCCAAGAACCAACAGAGTCCCCAAAATGGATGGTCTCCCTTCCCTTCAGTTCCCATTGACAAGCCCTACTGTGCCCGCAAGAAACGCAAACCCTAATCGTGTCTGCTTAGCATCTTGAGAAGCAAATGCCATGAACGTCAAAGCTAATCTGTATGTCACACTTAGAGCCCCCCTTCGGTCGGTGTGAATTGTTGGTTTGAAGAGAAGCCAACCCCACTCACAATGAAGGACCTGGTAATGAACACTGATCACCTTTTGTAACCTCGACCAGTCATGTGCGGGCGCCAACATGGAAAATCAACACAAAACTAAAGGGTTGGGTGAGCAGAACCAAATCGAAGGCGGCGGGTTTCGTCATGTTTATGGGGCATCCTCGCCTTCATGGTTGCGGCCGTGACGTTGCTAGCATTCTCATTGGCGATCACCATCGCCCATGCCTTGGCGAAAAGCAGCCGCGTGTCACGAAAATAGTATAACACGAGGACACCCATGGTTGGCTATTTTTTGAAGGAAAACACAGGCAGGCAACATTCTCCCAGCCCACTTACATGTAATCTGAGTCGCGTAAAAAGACGGCGTGGCTGTTTTGCTTTGCTTGGCGCCCGTTCGAGTCGGTCCCCAATTTCAAAAAAACATCCAAATGGAGGCCGGCGATCCATTCTTTCAAAGTGCATTGGCATGATCTAGATAGGCTGTTGACCTCCTGCAACAAAGACAAACTTTTGCTGGCTAGCAAGAAAGGAAGTGGATATGTTCCTAGAAAGTTGAGGTAGCGAATCAAACTCAAACCGATGCAAGGGTCCAAGAAGCGCCCCCCAGTTGTGATCCACAAGACCACCCTCACGCTCGAAACTCTTTGACAGCTCGTTGTATTAAGACCCAGTGCTCAGAAACCCAAAAGTGGCTTTGGACCCGTCTTCTTTCCTTTGATCAGAGGCATAGAGACCCAAAGGAATGCAAACCACAAGCAGTTTGGGCCTCCCGTTTATGGCAGCGAGTTCTTTGGGATTTGCTGTTGGCACCGCTGAACCTGTGGAAGTCCCGCTGAATCGTCTTTTGAGCCCAAGGGAAACAGAACAACACCCATCAAGAAAGCGCTGCCACTTGGCGTTCTTGCCTCACTTGCCAACACTATTGACTGAGTTGATTGCAAGGGATACTTACGAGTCGATAAATACCACTGTTTCAAGTGCCCATTTGAAAACACAAACCAAAGTGACAATTGAATTGTCCAAACGTCGAACATTATTAATGTACTAAGTACTGCGCGGATTTCGCAATTCGAGGACCTGCTTCAGGTATCTAACAAGGTTTCCACTACCCCCCAAGCCGCTATTGGGACACAAGCGAAACTGTATCTACCCCTCTACGTAATATTCATACAATGGTTTTATACCCTTCCACTTGCCCTTAGTGTCTTGACCCTATCAAGGGGGGGTATATCATAAAGCGATATTGTTTAGCAGTACCACGTTCTATCTAGTCAGGGCCCCGTAGAGAAACTACTTATGAGTACTCCATCTAACTTATAGTATATCCCATTTGTCTGGATACCATTTGAGCAGCGCCCAACACCTAGTGAATTCTGGTTCTACCAAGATAGCCATAAAGGTTTCCACCGGCATTGCCAGGTAGAAGAACCACCTGTTCAGATCAGAAATGGCTTGGGGTTTTCCAGCAGTTCCAAATGGCGTTCCCCGCGTGGTTTCCCTTTGGTTCCCTAAAGCCCACAAGAGGCTCACCATGGAGAGCTCATAGGAAGCTCCGCTTCCGAGTGACGTAGCCCGCCGCGGAGGGGCTGAAGCGCACGGTGAGGCCCTCGGGCACCGGCGTGGAGGCGATGGACGGGTGCTGGAAGAAAGCGCTGCTCACCTACGGCCAGAACGGCATGGGTCACTTGGGTTGGTCGGTCGCTGGAATCAAGCGGAGAATCCAAAACGGGAGTTGGGCGCTTTTGGCGTGCTTGTTGGAAGGAAGTGGTGCAGGTACCAAAGCGGGGCTCTAACATGTTCTAGGCCCGGGTCGTGTCTTTTGGAGGGAAACGGAACATTACTGACAAATTTCCAGGAATCCCACGAAATCCAACGAAGCTGGCTTTGCTTCAAGATAGCTGAACCTAGGGGAACCCCCTTAATTGGTGGTTTGCCTGTCTGAAGCACAGTGTCGGTCCGTCCATCCGAAAAAGATTACCAAACCGTCCTGGGCGGCCTTTGGTCGCTCGACCCCTCGTTCTTCCTGATGTGAAAAGAGACAATGCCGCTCGGCCATCGAGAAAAAGTCGCGGGGTGTAGATGCGGTAGATGCGAAATCCATGCCAGGCACTAGTTGAGATTTGCTGTTCATCAACCAGTACTTATGGAGTTTCCTCCATCTCAACTGGTGCGTGGGATTTTGCAACCATCCACAGCCCCGTGGTCCCGTGGCACGAGGGCCGATGCTCTGGAGCCGTTTTGCTCAAAGAGTAAAGCATGAAACAATTGCTGGCGTAGATGTCAACATTCGGCCCATCCACATGGCTTGTTTTCTGTTGATTTCATCCAAAAAGACTGCCATAGAAGCTGACAAAAGGGTTTTGGCAGACCACAATCCTCTTGAACTGGCCCGCTTCCATCATTGTTGGAAAGAGGGAATGCGACACCCACATGGAAAAAACACAAGCCGCCAGTGCTTGGACGACCGGGTGCGGTTCCCACTCCAACTTCTGCCAGGCTGCCCACTCCGAGCGCGCGATGGGGTTCGGAGGATTCGGCGCGTCCGGCACGGAGGTGGCGTAATAGCCTCAATGCAAAACCTACCACCGTGTCCCACTTACGTCAGAGGGGGTGTCCCGTTGTACTTTCAGGTTTACCCACAACATGTTGTCCAACGGATGTGCTCTGATTCGCTCCTAGGCTTGAATTCGTATCAATGTCATGTTCCGCTGCACTACACGCACAACAACTCCACAGCAAAGTCAAAGAACTGACTGGACCTCGCTGCGCAACAGCTCCGCATTTAAGTTGCAAGCAAAACCTAGTACTGAAAGGGTCTGCACAAAACCACGCAACAAATCAAAAGTAGGGCGGTGCACCTACTTATGATTGGGATTGTCCCTTGCTAACCTTCATCTAGCCAGGTGTTGATCATGGTGATTTGATTCATGGCTTGCAAGATCGAGTCAAGTATGTCGACTTTGGGTTGAGCAGAATGACTGTTCGAATCAGAGTGTCTCCCCCTCCCCCACAAATGGATCAATGCCCCGCCCGCAAGAATAACCCTCCAAAGTGGACAGTGATTACTTGATAGCTGCAGAAACAAAAGTAACTTCAACCTGTGGCAAGCAGCTGATGATGTTGGACCGCGTGGTGTAGCCCGCTGCATTGCGCGAACTGATCCTGCGAGCGCCCGGCATTTGACTCGTTCATGCTAAACGTCCTGTTTTTCAAGTGCCAGGCAAACATGCCAGCACCCCTGACCAAAGCCTTAATTGTGTCCGAGCTTGGCAAACGAGCCATGATCAAACACTCCCCACATCTCAATAGGGACCTCAGGAACCCTCACCCCATACGAAAGCACAACCAAGCTTCCTGGTGGACTGTCGACCTGCTGGCATCCTGATTCATTGCCTCACTTACCCTCCCTGCCAGCATGGCGCACCGGACGCCTCCCTTTCAATTAAAACAGGTTCCGTCGAGTCCAACAAAATGCCGGCCGAATGTGCCTCACTTCGCAGCGACGCTTTGTCTGAATGCTTTGTTTTGTGCCAAGCCATCCATGTTTGGCGGGAGGGACCCGCATCCCGACACACAATCAAAATCTGGGAGTTCAGTAATCTGCCCCAAGGCATGCAAAGAATCAGAAGAGCGCGTCCCCGCACCTGTTTGTCACATCCCCACTTGCGCTCCTGAAGACATAGGCAAACTGAAGCCGCAAGTCGAAGACCCGGAAGCTGGTGTCTGTGGTGTTGCCCAAGGATACGTAGACCCCACCCTGGTCCATCTCCTGAACTCTGCGCAGCTGGGTTGGCTTACTCAAAATCGGATATGTGCGTACAGTGCTGCATACACATATAACGAGCAAGGGAGCTTCAGACAAGCGCACTTGGCCCACGGCTTCGAAGCGCTCCAAGCCCTCTGATAAACTGATAAACGGCACCCCTGGCAGCCTAAATTGGAAATGGCTTTGCCAGGGCACAACTTCGTAGCTGAAGCTTGCGCCGTCCATGCCGTCTGTGAGAGGTGCTGTCCAAGACCTCAAGGTGAGCATTTCACGCACAGGGCTCTCAACCTGCCTCTTGGTCCTTTTTTCAGCGATGCATGCCACCAGAGGCAAACCTTTCGGCATTCCGTACATGTCCTGAATTTACGGAAGTAGATGTCAAGCAAGGCATCACATGGCCAACTCTGCCTCCCACCATTTGAGTGCAATCCCCAAAAACATCTTTTCATTTGCTTCCAACTTGAACTTGGTTTTCTGTCGGGAAGAACCCAATGTTTGGTCGCTACAACCATCAGCAGAGACGCTCCGTTCCAATGACCAAGTGCGGGGGCTTCTCTTTTCTGAAAAGTAACCGTGAGCAACCACCCTTCTCTTTTCTGTGGCATGCGGCGATTCCCCCAAAAAGGCGTTTCGGTTCGTTCCCCCCTCGGCCGCGGCGCAGCAGCACCGTCTCGCCCTCCGGCTCCCCCAGCCGGATGTCACGCACCGCGCTCGGCACGTCCGCTGCGTAGCCCGTGACGGTGCCACTGTTGGGCCCGCAGCCCAGGGGGCCCTGGTGAGCGCGCAAGTAAGAATAGCAATAGCACCCTGTGCACTGACGTGGAACCTGACTTTTCAAGGGACCCTCTGGTGGATTCCATGTTCGTGGACAGGAGGGGCTTCGAACGTCAACAAGAGCCCCCGTTTTCGTGCCCCATCGCAAGTGGTCAGTTGGGGTTGGAGAATTTGGGGGGCGGGGGTGTCCGCTGCCCCAGCACGCAGCGCCCGCCGCTGACTCTCGGCTCCATGACTCACTCCTGGTCCTATCATCGGTGCTATGCCATCGCCTTGCCCTTGCCTCGGGGATTCCTGCGCAACTTCGGCCCATGACATCAATTCCAACGACGCCAGAACCTGTGCATTCCTGAATCGCCACTTGACCAGCTCTGCTCCACAAACGCTGCGCGCTCAGCCGGGCCGAGGTGGGCGCTTGCAAAGCACCGGCAATACAATACTTCGTCTTGGCAGTACAGAACAGAATTAAGTACCGGCAGTATATGGAATTTAGAACTGCTCACGCAACTGAGTCAGTCCATATCGTTGCTGCACTCAGCGTGGCTAACATGCTTGTCTAGGCCATGTTCCAAGTGTTACGTTCTAAACCGTTTTACCCAACAAGGGCAGGCACGGCCCGCTTGATCGGAATTATTTATGAATTTGGGACCGTTTTACTCGTTGCATTTGACACTTTCCACGTCTGGGCTGCGCCCTTTTCCCTGTTCACAATCCGCCACCTCAACTGGAAGGACCCCACCAACCGCCAAAAGAGGGAAAGAAAAGAAACATATCCCGTTAAAACTGCTCAGACTCGACAACAAAAACAGGCAACAGCATATCCAACGCACCAGCAAAGCTGGAACCACAAGAAGGAGAGGGCTGTAAGCTGTGAAGAATCCTGCCCCTCCAGTCGTTTAAAGACAAGCTGCTGCATTCCGGATTGAAGCGTTGGAATGATATGCAGGAGACCCTGAGGCAAAACGTCATCATGTCATAAGATTACTGTTGCGCGGATGAAAAACCAACAAGCTAGGGGTAGCTTGTAAAACCACTATCATCGTATGCAGTGAAGCCTTTTCATGGTTGGAGTCACTTGCATCCTGGCTCAATCTGCCAACACGCGCCCGAAAGATTCCATGGCAGATCCCGAAAGATTCCATAGGCGGATCGAAGGCATCTTGAGATACATGCGAGGAAAATCCCCAATCTGGGACCGGAAAGCAGAGCTTTCTGCCCGGCCAAAACAAAAGCGTGCTTCAAGCGAAAAATCAGTCCACCCACTTCGCCAAATAGTTGCAGCTCTTCAAGGCAGCCTCCACCTCTACACTCTTCATGGCCTTGTACTTGGATAGATCCTTCAGGCTTTCTCATACTTCCCATCAACACATCAGCCCTACCAAGGAAACTCACTTTACATGGGCCGAACAGGTGATGTTGAAAACCAGCAAAACGAATCCTTGTAGGTCCGTCACCAGGGGAAGATCACCTTTAAAGGGCAAAAACCAGAATGTTGGCTGTGAATCTAATAGGGGACCCTTTGGTGGACATCATTTAGGTGGGGATTCATGTTCAGCAACCATAATTCCCTCGTAGAATCCATAAAAAGCAACTCACCTCAAAGGAGCCAAAACCGAAAAGGTGATGATTGCAACTACCATGTATATAATATGTATATATATATATATGTATTTTGGCAGCCCTGTCCTTGGCGTTCTCCCACTCGAAGAACTTAATGCCAGCCTTGGTCACCGGCTCCCGGCCGAAGTGGCAGTAGGCGGCGGTCTCCTGGTACTTCGGCTCCCTCAACGCCAAGCTCTGCGCGATGGCGCCGGGCCGGCAGTCGAACTCGATCTTCAGCACGTTGGTGATGTCGTTCACCGTCAGATCCTGGAGCTGAAACCATTTAAATGACTGCAAGTGTTCTTCAGTGTGACATTGCATGTAGTCAATGCTGTTGCAAAAAGCTGGAAATCAATGATGTAGGTTCTGGCACCTTGAAAACAGAAGCGGAAGGAACAACTCAAACGGCGAGAGGTCAGAAGGTCGATTCGCAGTTTGCTTTTGCGTGCAAGGATCCCCCTTCTCACTGCCGTAGGTCTCCACAAAGAGAGACAAAGGTTTCGCCACGCCAATGGCGTATGACAGCTGCACAAGGCACCGAGCGCTGAGGCCGCTGTTGACCACGGACTTGGCCATCTGGCGACAAATGTATGCCGCAGATCGGTCCACCTGGGTCTGCTTTTTCGAGGCTTTGCATGGTACCCTTGTCAGGTTGGTTTTTACTGGCCCAATTTTGACACGTACCCGCCTTCGTTGGGTCCTTGCCCGAGAAAGCGCCGCCGCCATGGGCACCCCAGCCACCGTAGGTGTCGATGATGATCTTGCGGCCGGTGAGGCCTGCATCACCCTGAGGGCCTCCAATGATGAACTTGCCTGAAGGGTTGATGTGCAGGTGGGTGTGGCTGCCGTACAGGGTGATGGCGGACTTGCCGCTCTTTAGAGTGATGGACTCCAGCGTGCGCTTGATCACCTTCTCTTCGATCTCCTTGTTCATTTGTTCCATGCTGGGCGCCGTCATCTCGGCCCCCTTGTAGCCTGCACACTCCTTGCTTCGCACTGCCTTCAAAGGCTCCGCGTGCTGGGTAGAGATCACCACAGTATGGATCTTCTTGGGCTCCACCGAGCCATCCGGGTGCTGCAGGTACTCGATGGTCACCTGGGTCTTGCCATCCGGTCGCAGCCACCAGCACTCACCGCTCTTGCGCACGTCCGTCAGTGTCTTGCCGAGGCGTGTGGCCATAGAGTGAGTCAGGGGCATGCAGTCGGATGTCTCCTCAAAAGCCCAGTGGTTCTGGGAAAAAAGGGCGCCTTTGTCGGTGGTTGAGTTTGAAGGGACCCCACCCCTCCAACAAAGAAGCAAAGGCGGTGCCAGTTGGCAGCTGAGTCTCATCGCTGGCATACCCGAACATGATGCCTTGGTCGCCCGCGCCCACATCCAGGTCCTCCTTGCCCACGTGGACGCCGCCGGCGATGTCGGGGCTCTGCTTGTTGATGCGCACGAAGACCTCGCAGGTCTTGTGGCTCAAGCCCTTGCTGTCAACGCTCGACAGGTCGTCCACAAAGCTGTCAAAGCCAATCTGCTGCACCACTCCTCGCACGACCTTGTCGTAGTCCAACTTCGCCTGCGTGGTGATCTCTCCTGCCACCATGACCATGTTGTCCTTGGTCGCAGTCTCGCAAGCCACCTTGCTCTTTGGGTCCACTGTCAAGCATGCATCCAGCACTGCATCGGACACCTGGTCGCAGATCTTGTCCGGATGCCCCTCGTTCACAGACTCGGAGGAGAAAAGGAAGGTGCGCCCTGTGCGGGCCTTCTTTTGCGCTGGCTCGGCCATTGCTGCCGGGATTGAATTGCGAAGACTGATCGCAGCTTGAAGCTGCAGCATGAGCCAAGCATTTGGAGGAGTTCCAACCACCGCTGATAGCCCTTCTCTTAGGGGGCCTTTCACATCCCATACTCAAAAAGACACAAACATAGAATTGGAACCCTTGTTGGTTGGTTGATTCCATCTTAATCGGTCCCCATCCCTCCAAACAAATCAAACTGAGACATGTGCCCGAATTCATCCAGCAAACTCGCCAACCACAAAGGGATGGCACCGGAATCCACCGTTGCAGAAACCGCTGGCTTCAAGCAGAGAACCCGAACCAAAAATGACTTCGGGGACGTCCGCTTTCGCAGCGCCTCGGCCAGCTCACGGGTCTCCACGCCGTAGGTGCCCAGCACCTACGGAGGTTTTGCGCCTTGAAACCTGGGCCGAACCTGTGGAAGAGGTCATTTGGCTTTGAATGACAAAGGTTCTGGTGTGAAAGGCCAATTCTAGCGTTGAAAACCAGGAATCTTTGGAGTTTCATGTTTTGAGACAAACTTGCAATTTGGCAAACAAAAGGAAACCCATTTGGTTTGTATTTTTGCTGCATATTTCCCCTGTGACTCCACAAGAAGCTTGCTTTACATTGGCCGGAAAGGTGATGCTCACAATTTATAACCCAAAAGGATTCGTTGGGGAAAACATAGGACCCCTTTGTTTGGAAACCCAAAAGGTGGGTTTCAACCAGACAGGTTTCCCACTGGCCAGGCCTGGGGCCAAGCTCTTACCACCAGTTGAGATGGATGAAACGGGATACATATCGACTGGCGCAGGATGTTCATCCGCATCTTTAAGAATGAAGGATGACATCCAGAAGTGACCATTTCAAATAGCTACACCAGCGGCTGCTTCAGTCTCCCAAATGCAGCAAGCTGCAATTGCCAACTCTTCAAAAGGGGCAAGCACATGTCCAACTCATAGGGGCAAAGCAACCTGAACAACCACAAGAACATACAATGGACACACACCCAGAGATCAAAGAGCCAAACAAGTGGCAGGCAAGGATGAAAGCTCGGGCCCCAAATCATTTGGGTCTGAGGTGTCACCTTGGCAACGCATCAAATCCAAGCCGTGCAGCTGCGGCGCACACGCTTGCACCTGGAAGCGGTAGAGATTGCCTGGCCAGGTGGAATCTGGATTTGTGGGATGCTCTTCGCGGCTTTGAAGCAAACAGGCAACGCAGTTGAAAACAACAAGCCCCCTTTTTTGGTCACATGGGGACCCACTGATACCTTGGCCGCGCAAGGGGAAGGCGCAAAACAACTCCTTCTGATCAGCCTGTGGTGAGACAGGATGGCGGGCAATTGCAGGAGCCGTCGTCTATGACCCCGTCCGGGACGAAGCAAGTGCCATGGTCCACATAGTCCCTGGCCTCAACGCTTGAGCAGACTTGTCACCAGGGTTACGCTTAGCTGTTGCCGCCGGCAAACCCTGAAATCCGCGGAGCAACTAGTATTAGTTTGTACTTGCCCCCCCCCCCTCCCCCTCTCCCCACGTTGAGAACCACATAGTATGTTGTTTGGAGTTTAGAGCATGTGTTAGAGTGCATGACGAACACGCTTTAACGCTTCAATCCTCATTCTGGTTGAACAAGCCCTTATGTGACAAGCTAGGAACCCTAAAGCCCCTAAAGCAATCTGTCATAAGCAATGCGGACCAGCCCATGCTCCCAACTTGTGGGTTGGCGCTGCCCACATCTGCATTTCTTCAAACATAGGAACTCTTTTTCCTGTCTCTTTCGCAGGGAACATCTGCCACTTGCTTCACAAGAAACATTGTCCAGGGGGGACGTGTGCATAACCCAACTTTTTGGTTACCCATGAACACCTAGGTATCCCAGCATTTTCTGAGCATGGCCGAGTGCTTTCTTCCAGCTGGGGTTAATTCTCTGCGGCTTTCTGGGAAAATTGGGCGGTCCCAATGAGTTGAGCATGTAGGCCTTCTTTAAGTTTGTTCGAGCTTGCTGCCATAACCACGCATGCAATGTGCCATGGTCATCAGGGCATTGGGTCGTCAATTCAGTTAATTCCCTTACCCTCAGAGATGTGTTTGTTTCTCCAGATCATAGACCCATCTTTTTGGATGGCTTTAAAGGGAAACCAAACGCCCCAAGTCTCGCGATTTGTTTTGGCTTCCCCAAAAAGGCAAACTCTATTCGTTTATTGAAGGGTCGGGGTTCCCCATGAAAGGGCCTTGCAGACTGGATCTCCCCTTCAAAAGTCGGTCCGCTTCGGGAGGACACCTTCCGATGTCACGCCTCGAAGCCTTCCCCCCGACGCCATTTACCGGACGAGTCACAGCCGGGATCTGCAGCGTTCCGCTGGCTGCCTGCGCGTAGCCCACCACCTGGAAGCCTGGCTGTCAAATCTTTTTTTCGCGCTTGTGAATCACAACCTGGGAGCTCGGTGAATCAAAATGGGTTGAACAAACATGGATGCCGGGTTTTTGGAGCACACCATCCGACCCCTTGTGAAACCTGACCGGGGGCCTTGGAAGACCATCTTCTTCATAAAGAGAACTGTTATATAAAAGACATGCCCCCTCACTTTAAAACCCAGATTGTTTGTAGCGGCAGGGGCGGTGCGGGCAGCACTTGGGGATGGGGGGGGGGGCTTGAAGAACTCAGCCAACGATCCTCCGCGATAAGGTCCTACCCAAAAAATGGCCTCAAAACACAAAATGGCCTTGCTACACTTGTGAAATCAAGTGGAGGATCCTCGCTTGAGTTTCGGATCCGATGCTGCCTTTCAATCCGTGGGAACGGCCAAGAATTGTGGCTTCTGTTTTCCGCAAGGTTTGGGCCATCAGCGTTGTGCCGCCATGATGGGTTTGGGCCATGCGAGCCAGAACTGTCTTTTTCTAGAAACCCCAAAATGGCGCCGAACATGTCGCCCGTGTTGCGCCTTGGTCTCCAAAATACCGAAGGATGCGGTATTGGTGGATGGGCACACAGCCTGACCGAGACACTGGGCGGACTCGGACTCGAGATTCACAGGGCATTGGCTTCCAGGGGAAAAAAAAAACAAACAAACAGAATAATGTTGGTTTCCTTGTGGCGTCCCCTTCAACCCATCCAAACAAGTCGCTAATAAGTACAAACTTCGGAATACCTTTTGGCGGACATCATTTGTAAACTGGATTTTATGCGCGCCAACCATTTGCGAGGCTGTTCCCGCATCAAACTCGTACCCACATGGTCGGCGGGCATATTGCGAAGGCTGTGTGGCAACAACTGGTCCATGCTGGTTCACATTGCATTTGTCCACGGGTTTGGCACAAGAACGGACCAACCGGCTTGGACATGTTTAGCGTTGCCCGCGCTTGGCCCGTTGACTACGTTGACTAGCGCTTGCAACCCTTCAACACTGGGACCAGGGAGCACTCACTGGCACCGCTGCTAAGCGCACCATGAAGCAGCCAACACCACGCCAGCCACATCGGCTAAGCGCCCCCTTTCCTTGACGAGCAAAGAACCACACGCATGGCCCAATCTGCCCCTGCTCGTGCCATGGTTATAACTGGTTGTTGGTCACAGCTCCCCCTGAGACTGCCTGTCCAAATACCGCATTGAAATCGTGGTGACCATCCGCAATTCCCTAAGTAACAGTCACGTTGGATGCAACTGACAAGCTTTGCCAAGCAAACGCTCCACGACCCCGAGCTGGAAACTGAAGCCTCTCTTGCTGACCCTCGGGCCTTTGCAGGCCAATTGCTCTGGAAAGCCTTTCCTCACCCCTGAGAGTTGGTATGGTGGGTTTAAGGTTGAGGTTGATTTGGGGTGGGCGTAGGTCTGTTTCGATTTGGCTTGGTGGCTTCTGCTGGGTTTAGGGCCAGGGTTGGTTTCGGGGTGGGTTTGGTTTACGGGTGGGATTCGGGTGGGTTTGAATCGCGGGTGGCTTCGGGGTATGCCTGTGGTAGGGTTAGGGTTGGTTTCGAAGTTGACTTGCGGTTGGTTTGTGGTGAGGGATGGTTCAGGGTGGGTTTTTGCGAGGGTGGATGTTGGGTTGGTTTGGAGCGGGTTGTGGTGTGCAGTAAGTCTGCAGTGGGTTTACCGTGTTTTCGGGTAGGTCTGTGGGGCGGGGCACTTGCAGCACCAAAAAATGAAAAACAGATGTTGTTGGAAAGGGGTGATGGGGCCGGAGAAGACTGGGCTGGAACATTCCACATCATTTCGTACATTGAATCTAAAGCTCTGAGCGCGCAATTAGCAGAGCTAAACATTCAGGCATCGTGGCGACGCGAAATGTGCTGAAATTGAAGTAGCACTGGCCTCAAGCGCATTTGCTCAACTCATACGGGAAAAATAGAAATATAGAATTCGATTTCCCAATTCTCTTTGTTTGGGTTTCTGTCAAGGGGGTGAGTGACCCTGCCAACCCACCCACACGGCCCCGTGGCCCCGTGGCCCCGTGGCCCCGTGGCCCCGTGGCCTGTGTCCTCCGGCTCCTCCCAGGCCAAAGAGACGCTGGAGGTGGTGGTGTTGGTGACCACCACGTTCCGCGGCACCCCGGGCAGCCTGACGAACCGGAAGCCGGAAGGGAAGAAACGCAGGGCGCCTCAGATGCAAGCATGGGAGTTGGCCATCAGACACTTGTTGAAGCACCAGCGAATTCATGGTAGCAGATCCAAACACTGGAACTAACTCAGTGCGGTAAGGATGATGGCGCAGGCAGTGGGCAAGCGGGATGAATTCGAATAGTTTCAATCTCAAGCTTGGCCTACAAGGCCACCAGCGGAAGCTCTGTGACAATCTCGAGAGGTCTTCTGGAGCCCTCTGAACGGCTGATGTATTTATGAGAAGTTGCAACCGCCATGACTTCCATTTTGAGACATGGCAGGGCACAGCGACAGCCGGCCTGGCATTCGTCACGTCCAGGATGGCGGACATCGGGCCTTCCCCGATCATGGTGATGAGAGTCCTGTGCCAACGGGTGCATCCGGAATGGTCCCAGGCTAGGCGTATTTGGGCCTCCGGTTCCATTCGTTCCATCCGACTGCTAGTTGAGGCAAACACGGAAGTGCGATACTGTAACCCAAAATGAGACCCTTGATCGATTGGGGCGAGCTGCTGCGGATTAGAGAATGTAGTGGATGAATAGGGCACGTTTCCGCCAAAGTGAAGAAGGCACTCCAAAATGGGACATGCCTTGATTGATTAATCAGTCGGGGTGTGTCTAGGGTTTGACACTTGCCCTAAACACATGGCACAAAGTGCCACTAAGTCAATGAATTAGCCAATGCAGTGCAGACGTGGCGCATGCCGATCTTGTAGCGCGCACCACAGGTCGCATTTGCCACGGTGAAAAACACCTGCCACCCGCGAGCAATGCACTCGGAAGGCTCTTTAGGATACGTCTTAAAACAAGGGAGCCCGAAAGATGGTTTTCCCTCTCAAGCAAATTTACAACAAGTACCCTTAAACAGAAACGCACTCATGCACACACGCACGCGCACACCCACACCGCCCACACCCAGTCCCACTTCCCCACCCACACACCCACACCCTCACACCACCCCACGTGGGTGTTCCAGAGGCTTCGACATCATTTCTCTTGAAACAGCCGTCTGATTCATGCAATCGATCCTTGGTAGGAATGTTGTTTGGTTGCTTGGGATGCCGACCATGATACCTGACGAGGATATTGGTGAAAAGGAATTACTTGGTCTCGCTAAGAGTCCGTGTTGCTTCAGGTGATCAGGACCAAGAACTCAACACCCTACAAATGCCCAGTCCCTATAAGGGTCCCACAGTATTTCTGGTTGGATAACCTTCCATGCGCTTCCCAGCCTGGTCGGGGTTGCCGAAACCGTCATACACCAAAGTAGGCTGATCCTTGGGATCCCACCTCACGCAAGAAGCGAGCAGCTGATGTTCTCTAGCCGCGGCGCTAACGCGGATGTGTCTCCAAATGGGGGAGCTACAAACATTGGTGGTTTCCTCTTGGTTGCCCTCGCACACCCTTTAAAAAGGGACCACGTGTTCAACGTAAGCAAGGCGTTTCTTGAAGCACCCATGGTTTGAAGAACCTCTTGTGCGGTGCCAGCACAGACCGTTGTAGAGACAAATTTTCCTCACCCCAAATATTGCAGCAAACAACCTGTGTTTGTTGGGTTTCGACTTTGCGTGGCCAAAAATGGGAGCACCCCTTTAGAACAAAATGTCAGAATTCACCCTTGGAAGAACTTCCCATTGAAAGAAAACACATTTCCGAAAGCAAACCAAAAATGAGACCTTCGTATGAAGATGTGTCAAAAAAAAGGTGGGGGGGGGGGGACAAAATTGGGGGATTGTTCTTTGGTTTACCCTTTGAACCCTCGTGCATTTCACAAACCCATATAGCGACGCAACTTGCAGCACCAGGCGCATGTAGCCTCGAACGCCCCAGTCCGCTTTGGTGTTCTCCATGCGCGTCCCAGTGCCCAGCAGATTTCCGGAGGGGAAACTTGGCGCGGAGAGCGTGGAAATCAAACCACCTGCTTTCCAAGAGAACCCCCCAAATCGGATTAAAGGTGCCTGGAAGATCGACTGGTTCCTTGCAAAGGCGCGGGGGTAGGTACTCAGCTGCGCCCTCTATAGGTAACTCATGTGCGCCCTTCATGTCAACAGTGGCGCAAACTCACCAGCGCCCCTGCAAGTTGCTCTGCAACAGAATCCAACTCTAGAAGCGAGCTCTTGCTCGGGGTGTGGGGGAATGGCAAGCACACCAGCTCAGGTGCACCCGCTGGGGGGGGCAGTTCGCTCGCTCAGCGCTGTGGCGGGGGGGGGGGGTTGGGGCGGGGGTGTTGGGGCGGGGTTTGGAGGGGGGGAAAGGCGCTGTGGAGGGGGGGGGGTGAGTGGTAAGCCCGCGCTCAAGTGCACCAGCTGGTAACCCGCTCAAGCGCACCCGTCATGGGGAGGGGGGGGATGCTAAGCACACCCGCTCAAGCGCACCTGGAAAAAGAATGGTGAGCACACCGGCTCCAGTGCACCCGCTCAGCGCTGTGGAGGGGCTGGGAGCAGGGTGTGGGGGGGGGCACTGTTTCCACGCATGCAGAATGGTAACCCGGTGGAAGGTGGGGTGGAACAGTAAGCACACCCGCTCAAGTGCACCCGCTCAGGGGGGTGAAGTCCGACACCGGGGTACCTTATCTCGTGGGAACATGTACCTTGTTTAGCGGTTGGTGGCTGGTGGCTGGCGGTGGTAGCGTAGCCAAGGGCATAAACGAGTTAGCTCCGAGTGGCCGGAAATGGTGGTGCTGCGAAGTAAAACATCAAAATGGGGCACAGACAAGTTGGCACATGAAGGGCACAAACGAGTTAGCCATCGAGGGCACAGCCGAAGGCGCACCCCATCGAAATTTGGAGACAATGAACTGCATCGAGACAAACGGAATGCAGTTCAAGCACACTCGCACACGGGCGCACATGCGCAAGCTCGCAAAGAAGAAAAGCAAACCAAACGCCCACCAACTTGCAAATTTCGCAGGCGCGCACACAGGAGCAAAAACAACTACAATCAATTCTGCGCAGAAACACGAAAAAAGCAATTAAGCGAGATTACACACAATTAGACACACACACGCACACGCACACACACACACACCCACACACACCCACACACACACACCACACACACACACACACTCACACGCACGCACGCACGCACGCACGCACCCAGCACCAACAAGCACCAACAAGCACCAACAAGCACCAACAAGCACCAACAAGCACCAACAAGCACCAACAAGCACCAACAAGCACCAACAAGCACCAACAAGCACCAACAAGCACCAACAAGCACCAACAAGCACCAACAAGCACCAACAAGCACCAACAAGCACCAACAACAGCAACAACTACAACCAAAATAAAATAGCAAACAGCAAGAACAAAAAGAACTGAAACACATACACACAAACAGGCGAACACGCAAACACTGAAACGCTACAACACAATCATTCAAACGGAAAACTCAAACTGATGAACGTGCACACATGCAAGCACACAAATGCATGAACATGCAACTAGATAATCATGTGATGCAAACACACTAACACACACACACACACACTGGCATATGTGCTAACACGTATCTGGCAAACGTGTAAGCATGTAAACAGCCACTCAACCACACCACCACTCAAATACACGGCCACTCAAGCACGCAAATACGCACGCCCGCGCACATACAACCACACACACACACACACCAACAAAACGAAACAACATGCAAACATACAAACTCACAAGCATGCAACACAACTGCACAAATGCAGGCGGCCTATTCATGCGGCGGTTGTGTGTGTGTGTGTGCGTTGTGTGCGTTGTGTTGTGTGTGTTGTGTGTTGTGTGTGTGTGTTGTGTGTGTGTTGTGTGTTGTGTGTGTTGTGTGTTGTGTGTGTTGTGTGTTGTGTGTGTGTGTGGTGTGTGTGTGTGTTGTGTTTGTTGTGTGTGTGTGGTGTGTGTGTGTGTTTTGTGTGTGTGTGTTGTGTTGTGCTTGTTGTGTGTGTGTGTTGTGTGTGTGTGTGTTGTGTGTGTGTGTGTTGTGTGTGTTGTGTGTGTGTGTTGTGTGTGTTGTGTGTGTGTGTTGTGTGTGTTGTGTGTGTGTTGTGTGTGCTGTGTGTGTGTTGTGTGTTTTTGTGGTGTGCGTTGTGTGTGTGTGTTGTGTGTGTGTGTGTGTTGTGTGTGTGTGTTGTGTGTGTGTTGTGTGTGTGTGTTGTGTGTGTTGTGTGTGTTGTGTGTGTGTGTTGTGTGTGTTGTGTGTGTTGTGTGTGCTGTGTGTGTTGTGTGTGTTGTGTGTGTTGTGTGTGTTGTGTGTGTTGTGTGTGTTGTGTGTGTTGTGTGTGTTGTGTGTGGTGTGTGTGTGTGTTGTGTGTGTGTGTGTGTTGTGTGTGTGTGTTGTGTGTGTGTTGTGTGCATTGTGTGTGTGTGTTGTGTGTGTGTGTATTGTGTGTGTGTTGTGTGTTGTGTGTGTGTTGTGTGTTGTGTGTGTGTGGTGTGTTGTGTGTGTGATCTGTGTGTGTGTGTGGTGTGAGTGTGTGTGTGTGTGGTGTGTGTGTGTGCGTGTGTGTGTGTGGTGTGTGTGTGTGTGTTTGTTTGTCCGTGTGTGCAGATGGGCTATCTCACCCAAATACCATAAAAAGAAGGGTGACATGCCCCAAGCTGAACATAGGTTTGTCTGCTGAAAAGAAAATCAGGAAAAACAAAAAAACATACGCAAAGTGGGCGGTTCCCCTTGCTTCCCCTACAACCAAAGGGAAACAAGGCCGAGACCTTCAAAAAAAGGCACTAGGCGCACCCATCTTGACCCCTGGGAGTTTGTTTCTTCCTCGCCTATTTACGTAGAAATGCGGGGCATTCCGAGTGGCTCCCACTGAATTCGGATGGTACCCTCATCGGAGGCAATGCGGGTCACGAGCTGGGGCCCGTCCTGGTTGGGTGAATAAGATGGATTCCCAGAGATGCGCGGTTTTCGGAGGTATTTGTTCGAGGTTGGCTTTCAGGGAGCCATCAGGAACCTTTTTGGGGGGTCCCCTGTTTTGACACATTCCACATGCCGATCCTGTGGATGGCGCTTTGCGCTTCTGCTTCTGGGGAGAAAGTGTTGGGAGGCTTCCCAGCGAGTAAGTTGTGGCTCGTCTGGAAAAAAAGACAGGCTTGCTTATTCCCTCCTCAAATCTATGGTCTCTGCAGCCAGTTCCTTGTGTCCAGCCACGCTCAACATTAATTTTGATCCGAGCAAAGTCCCGTTCTGCAGTGGTCAATGTGAGTGCATCCCGCGTCGTCCCCTTTGCAACTGTACCTGGAAATGTCATTTTTTGACGGTACCTGTTGGGGTCTTAAGGATGAACCTACATCGCTGGACCTCTTCCCACATCTCTTGACCCCCGGTCCCACGGCAGCAGACCGGCCCAGAAGTAGAAGGGCTCTGAGGGCAAGCCCACGCCATTCTTGCTGGCCGCCAGCACGCGCGTGGCGTATTTGAAGTCTGGCTCCAGCTGCGTGATGAGGAGACCTGCAAGAACCGTTCGCTAAATTTCAAATGGCCCGGCTACCTTGTGGACCATTTACCTGGGACTTCTCTCAAACCAACCTGCGGGGTTGTCTATTGGATTCACAGCCATGCTAAGCACCTCTTTGGGGCTCAAGCCTCATAGGTTCCTTGGGCCCCCTTTTTTGAGCAGCAATTCTTCCTCTGCAGAGGGCCAGAACTGGATGCAAACCAATCAGTCCAAGTGCATCGCATTGTCCGTACTGGATATGGGAAATTAGAGAGTCTCCTGGTGTTTGGCAATTTAGTGAGTGTCCAGTTCCCCATGTCCCTCTTAAATGGACCACACACACGACTCAATGTTTCGACCAAACCTCATATCCCTGTGCCAAGTTGCTGTACTCGGTGTTGTCCGCATGCGCATTAGGTACATCAAACCTCAGCTTGCCGCTGCAAAGGCCCATCCTTGAAACAGGTCTGGCAATCGGAACTTCAAGCGTGGCCTCTGGCAGACTGCTAGGGAACGCAGGGACAAATAGGGTAATCTTGACCAAATACCACCTGTTGTAGACATGATGGCGTGCAGGCAACCCGCTTCCTTCCACATGCACCGCGCCAAGTGTTTTTGGCTGGCTCTTTAGCCGGGTTGTAAATGCTTGCAACCGCCCCTCTACTTGCTTCCGCCAGTGCGTATGTTGAACCTCCGGTCTCGGCCAAACGAAACAACCCAAGGCACCCTGCTTACACAATCAGCTGGCGCGGCATCAACCTCTGAGACCTTCTCAACTGCTCTTCCGTCGAAGCCCCCTCTTCACGCCATGGTCCCAGATGAAGAGAAACCACAGAAAGGCTGACAAGCGACTTAACGATTTGACGTCGAAATCCTTGTGATCCAACACAGCAGACTCCTACCCCTCGCAGCTCTCGCAGCCCTCGCAGCCCGGTGGCCAGGCGTCGAAGGTGGGCTCCATTGCCATCTGCACGATGTAGTGGGTGATCCTCGGCGCGCTTGGGGGGGGCCTGGCACGCCACCAGAAGCGGAGCGGCGGAGCTCTGCCCGAGCGAAGGGCGAAGGCAGGCTTCCAACATGATTGTCATCATGGGTTCTGGAGGACTCTCGTGCTTTTGCACATTTCTTGTTGGGACCGCTGAGACACGACCCATCGAAAGTGGAACTGGCAGCCGCGTGACGGCAAGACGTCAGCCGTGGAGTTGCCCACCGTCCATCTCAGCATCGCCGTCTTCAAAGACACCGACGTCACAGACAAAATCACCTCACGGCCAAACAGCCAGGCCACGAGCCGCCAAAATAAAACATGAAAGCGCATTGAGTATGCTGTGTAATGAGAAGAGACGCGTCAGAAACACGCATGCACACAACAAGCGTCAATGCATCCAGGTGCAAGGTCTTCGCCTTGGATCCTCCAAATATAAATACATATATATATATATGGTCACCCCCCCCCCATGAACTACCTCTGAACTACCTTGCTACATATATATATATATTATATCTTTCACAGTGTGCAAAACCGCCAAGGGGTCTCGCTTCAGGCGTGGCGCGGGCGCTGGGAGCGGCATGGCCATCTTGAAGTGCAGCAAGTTGCTGGCATTGCCTGCATCCGCGCCCCACCCAACCCCCCATTCAGCTCATCCCATAATCAGGTAGCTTGGCCATTTGCTTGCTTGTTGGGGGGACATGTTGTTTCTGCTTGTTTTTTGTTCTTGTTCTTGGCGGCCCCAGTAAGCAACACAAGTTCAGCCCTTTCTTCACAGCATGCTTCTCAAACCTTTGTACAAAAGGGTACCCTCAAGAAAGGACTCAAGAGCCTGGCCGTCAAGGCGCCTGGCCCCGCAAAACTCACCGCGCGCACAAAGGCGCGGTAGTCGCGGCCCGGCGTCAGCGTGAGGGTGGCCGTGTTCGTCCAGCGCCTGGCCGTGTGTGGCATGCGGTCCTGCCATCAAGGACATCAACACCAGGCTGTCTCAAAATTGGCATCCCGCCGCTTGGAACCTCTAAGACTCCCTACTTTTGATGGAGTGCCAAAAAAGTGCTTTGCTTGACATCCTCCCCCGGCATGTGGAATGTGACAACTGTTCGATGTGCTCCTTGACAACCCTTTCCTGGCCTGTCTTTGCCATCGAAGGCCATCTGGAACGGGCCGCCGTCACCATCGTCCAGAAACCTCACTCACGGCACGCGGTGTGGCAATAGCACCACAGATTTGCGGCGTGCCCAATGGCAAGTAACCTTCCACGTACTGCCTGCTTGATGAAGTTAAGCCGTAATGATTTGAGTATACCCCGGGTCCCTCAAGGGTTTGGTCGGTCCCATTTGTGCCAAGCCACAGCTCGTAGCCCAGAAGTGCCCGAGGATCATAGGATCCGATGAGCTGCTGACTGAGGGTCAAGTAGTCCCCAGGACCCACTTGTCCCAAACTCTCCTGAAGTTCGAGTTGGCAAGCACCCAACCCACTGCACACGCCCTGCACACGGGGCCAAAACTGATGCAAATGGCCTTTCTCCATGCGCGTGCTAGGCACCCTGCAAATGCCACTTAGCTCGCAAAGGCTATCTTCGTGCTCTCTGCTCGCCATGTTTGTGGAGTCTGGAGGCCCAACACCTTGACAATATGCTAGCGACATCGCCATTGATTTGCTGGCAAAAGCGCGAGTCTCACGGCTTTCTTTTTGACCCTGGTCCCCCGTGAAATGGGATAGGCCTCAAAAATGGCCCCACAGCAAGGTACCCTCACCAAGGGCACACCCCATATCCAGCCTTTCTGCTAGTTCCTCTTTTTTTTTTCAAGCCACATCTTCTTGAGGTTCTGCTCAAAATATCCCGGACCTTGTCCTACTGTTTCTTCTTCCAAGCTTCACCCCACTGGAACCCGAACACTTCTCGTGTTTGGGGCAAAGGAAAGGCAAAATCACTCAGAACAACCGGGGCACATTCTTCTCTGGAATCTGCACACCTGCCAGAATGAGAGCAACCTTAATGTGCCAGGATAGCAATTACCCTCCCACCCACCAACACGAAACCGACTAAAGGGCCCGTTTGGAGGAACGAGGATATCCCAAATACCACGAGTCAGGCTCACTGTTAGTGGATGGAAGGGTGCCAAGCACGCCGCCCATCCCCACCTGAATTCTCGAGAAGTTCTGGAACACGTCGACAAACTGCACGTCCTGGCCCGCTGTTCCGAAGAGGTGGGTCTAAGTTCTAGTTGGGCACTTTTTGCTGAACATTTGCATGGGAAAGGACGCCCACCACCTTTCTTTTCTTTCTATTTTTTTTTTTTGGGGAGGGGTGTGTGACTTCCCCATTGAATTTCATAGCGTGTAAAAAACAAGTTGGGCCTGCCAAATGCTCCACACTGTCACGATGAGTGCTTTCAATATAATCCCAAAGGTCCCTACTTCTGGCGCCTTGCCACATGGCGACCAAAAGATGAATCACCTTGTGCTGCGCGTGTGCTGGGTTTCGGATGTTGAATTCAATCCATGAAACGAAGTTGCCAGAAATATAGACCCCTTGGTGGACCTCTTTAAAAGGCGTTGTCCAACAACCTATGTGAAGCAGTTTGGCAACCATTGCTGTGGATTGACCCTGTCCTGCAGCAAGGTCCAGTCGAACCGCGCCGAGGTATCATTCCTTAGCGCAGCTGCAGGCATTCCTTTGGGATTCGATCGGCCGAGAGTATTGTGTTCAGGACATTTGGAGCTTCTCAGAATGACAGACCCCATTTGATTTGGTATTTACGGGGAAACCGACAAAAGCCAGCCATTTTATGGGAATCCCCATTTTGAGAAGCACCCATTTGTAAGTTTGCGCACTCAAAAGCAAACTGGATGTTGAGAGCAGGCCTACCGTCTGAAGCGTGTCCAGCTCCTTCGATGAGATGCTGGGCCTGTGCCACTGCCCGACTTTCAACATTCATGCGGAACAAACCGATGCAACGCCACGACCCTCCCCTATACTTCCATGACAGCCCGAGAGTCAGCGGCGTCACGCTCAGACCATCCGCGATGCAAATGTACCTCAGGGTAAACGACTTGGAGCTCCGGCAGGATCGCCTGCCTGCCTTTTACCCACCAATTGGTCAAGGGCGCCAAAAACGGAGCGATTGTACGTCCATGATTGTCTGATTCAAATCAGCAACACGGCCGGACAAGCTCGGTTTGATGAACATATGTCCATAACAGTTGCCTGCCCTGCAAAGCGCGTCGTGCCACTTGCATCTGACTCGTGACACTAATCACTGATCACAGCCTATCTAGGCATCTCATGCCGTATGGGTGAAATCCCAGCGGGCATCATGTTTCTTGGACATGCTCTGACACCGTGAATTTCAGACTCTCACCACTCCCCAATCCAGAGGTTCACGGGAAACTACCCCTTGGCGATGATAACCCCGAAAGAAGAGCCGAAAACAAGAGTCCAAATCCTGGAAGGATGGAGCCGACCACCTGCTTCAGTATATGCTGCTACTTGTGTTTCAACTTCCTCTTTCGTGCCAAGATCGACACCAGCCCGACCACTGGCCAGAAAACCTTGAAACACTTCGGGCTTATATTTCCTCAAGCCGGGATCGGGTCAGAAGCTGAGGACTCCCGACTCCCGCCACGGCAAAGAAATCTTCCCACGCAAGAAAACGGACCGAAATTGAGCAGTTCAATCCAACCAGGTACCTCACCTTTACCGCCAGAGCGGCTCGAAGTGGCTGTTGAAGGTCCATTGCGCGCACACTGGCGCCGGAGGGAGCGCTACCGCGGTGCCCACTTCCTAGGTCGGGGGAGGTCACAGCCGGCCACTTGTCTACACAACCTGAGTTTGGATGTTTCTCTCTGCATGTGTGTGTGCGCGTGAGAGGGATCCCAAATACAAAAACAAGCAAGCCAACAGGATGTTGTTGCTGCTGATGATGATGGTGATGGTGATGGTGATGGTGATGGTGATGGTGATGGTGATGGTGATGGTGATGGTGATGGTGATGGTGATGGTGATGGTGATGGTGATGGTGATGGTGATGGTGGTGGTGGTGGTGGTGGTGGTGGTGGTGGTGATGGTGATGGTGATGGTGATGGTGATGGTGATGGTGATGGTGGTGGTGGTGGTGGTGGTGGTGGTGGTGGTGGTGATGGTGATGGTGATGGTGATGGTGATGGTGATGGTGATGGTGATGGTGATGGTGATGGTGATGGTGATGGTGATGGTGATGGTGATGGTGATGGTGATGGTGATGGTGATGGTGATGGTGATGGTGATGGTGATGATGATGATGATGATGATGATGATGATGATGATGATGATGATGATGATGATGATGATGATGATGATGATGATGATGTGTTTGCCTGTTTGCCTGTTTGCCTGTTTGCCTTCTTGCTTGCGCGCATGTGTGTCCGTGTGTCGATGTGCCTGTGTGTCTGTTTTCTGCGGCTGTGTGTGTCGGTGTGTCTATGTCCATGTGTCTGTGCCCAGGGCACCAGTTGTCGGGGAGCAGTCAACAGTTTAGACGAAAGGATTGACTGGTCCCCAGGCTCTTTCTCTGGCCAAGCGGCGTCGGACCAGGGCCCCCAGCCCTTGCAGTTCATGGCCCGGATCTGGTACAGCTGCTTGTCGTGGAGGTTGCGGTTGGGTATCGTGACATAGCCTATCCACTGGTAAAGGAGACCCCTACCTTGTTCCCCCAAGCGGGAGCTTACTCAGATTCAATGGCCCGGTCACAAGAACAAGTTGAAAGGTCTCTGCGCTAGCTTTTCATTTCCGGCCCAGGTTTTGCTCTTGCATCTCTTCGGGTCTTTGGAACTCTCCAGCAGCCCAGCGCACGACATAAACATGTCCAGGAGAAATGTTCAGACCTTCAAAAGCGGCTTCTTCTGGGTTCCCAGCTATCCAAAAAGTCGGACAAATCAAGCTTGGAATCAAAGGCGTCGGCTCGCGGCTCGCCAAGCGGCAATGGAAGGGCGTGCCGGGGAAGAACTTGTCCGACGCAGAAGGTGTGCTGGCTGTGTAGGCATCCAGGATACCTCGGATCACTAAGCCATTGACACGTCACACTAAGGGGGAAGGTTTCGCTAGGGCCCAAATCATTCGGATGGGGGGGTATTTACAAACCAGATTTAGTAATGAGTCATGAATCTAGGAGTAGACTATTAGTAACTGCGCAGACCCTTCACGTTACAGCCACTTAATGCGAGGAAGGTCCAGGGCCTCTCGAGAAACACATCAAGCAACCGCAAGCTTGCATGCCAGGCGGCCATTCTGCCCAGGTCGCACTACTGCAATCTGCCTGGGCAATGGAAGCTCACACCTCTCAGCACCAAAAGCCCTACACCTCTTGCTGCACCCTTGGTCTTTTTGTTGCACGTATTTGGGACTTGGCCGATCGGCGGACAATCGCGCGCTTTCCCAAATGGATTCCCAGAGATCTGTGGCCTTCAAGGCCTGAGCGCCCTGAGAAAACGGCCGAAAACGGACTTCAAACCAAAAGAAGTCTTCAGAAGCTGGAGTTTCTTGAGCCGCAAAGACATTGACATGGCAATCACGCAACAACAACACCTCCCCCCAAAAAAAAACCGCGTGCCATGGAAGGCTGGGGGAGCTTGACATCCCCACCCGATCCATAGCCATGAGCAAGAAGCGCACAGGAGGTGCAAGGAAAGAACCGCTACATATTATCGTAGAAACCAAGAGTATCTGTTCACCTTGCATTTGCGGTTTCTACCCAGTCGAAACAGTTCAAACAACGTCCAAATCGCCATTGTTGCAAGTCAACAAGTCCCTGGGAGCTGAAAAGTTTGATGTAGGCGCAGCATTCTCAAACGAGTGTTGCTGTTGCTCTTGTGGTTGCGCGGCGGCTATTTTCCAAGGAACCCCTGGTTGGCTCGGGGCCAGAAAAAACACGTTTGCTTGGGTGTTTGCCACGAGTTCGGTTCCTCGTGGTCCCAGTGGCTCTTCGTTGCGCTGGATCTCGTACCACTCCACGGGGCAGGACACGTTGGCCTCCTCTGTGGGGTAGAACTCTACCCGCGCGCAGCCGAGCACGTCGTTCCTGGCCGTACAAGACCAGGAAGACGTCACCATTGCGTGTCAAAGTAGCGGGCTCAAGGTCCCCAATTGTGCTGTCCCCGAGAATTGGAATTGGAAAACAGAATTCCAGAGACCAGCCCCCTTCAAACCGGAAACCTCCACAGTCTCAGGGCGTACGGGTTTCTGCGTCCCAAAACAAGCCCCGCGCCTGCCCGGGAAGTGCTGTGCGCAGGAGTCTGGGCGTGCCGACACGTTGCACCCTGTCCAGGCCACCTGCAGCATAGGGGCCGGCGGCACAGTGAAGGCCTCGTAGAAGCTCCTAAGATCCAGAGGTCATGGGGCACACACATATATGTCAGAATAAGGGGACCCCTAAATTGGGACTTTTCTATTTTATTTCTTTATTGTTTTTTAAACCTGGGTGAAAAGTGTCCTTTATGAGGCTCGGTACTCTTTTTTCGGGTGATGTTTGTTAAAGGAAAACCAAAAGGAAACACGTGTGTCTTCGGAAAAATGTTGAAATGGGCTTGGACCGAAGAAGTTGTGACTTGTGACCTGTGCCTCATATTGGTGTTCCTCGAAAGGAGACCCCTGAAATAGAGGGCTCCTCTTAGTTTCCTTTTAGACACCAGCCAAAAGGGGGTGCCCCACTTTCAGACGCGCCCAGATGTTGTCTTTTGGAGGCTCGGTACCCTTTCGGTTTTCTTTGGCAAAAACAGGACCTGTCTTTTGGCCGTGAGGCACACAAACACAAATCTTCAGGTCGTGAGAGACAAACTTTGTGGAATGGCACCTTTGCTGCGCTTTGTGGAATCCGGAAGAGTACTTGTACGGCCAAAACATCCCGCTTGCCCGCGACGTCTGCGACCGCCCCCGCCCCGACCCTTAAAAAACGTGGCAGGCGTGGGAGCTTGTAGACCTTTGTGTGGTGAACTCCCTCAAAAACTTGGGGGCCGAAACCTGGATTTGGAGCACCCTGTCTTGGGTTTAAACCCTAAACCCTAAACCCTAAAAACCCTAAACCTAAACCCTAACAACCCTAAACCTAAACCCTAACAACCCTAAACCTAAACCCTAAAACTCCTAAACCTAAACCCTAACA